CACACACACACACACACACACACACACACACACACACACACACACACCGTATTACCCAGAGACTCTTCTCTCACTTAAATGTATTTTTTCTGAAATGGGTTTTAACTACACAGTCCTGGCAGGCCTTGAACTCACGAAGATCTTCCCGCCTCTGCCTTCAAATGCTGGGAATAAAGGTGTGCACTACCATGCCCAGCTATCACTTCTAAAATTAGAAAAATGCTTAGGTATGGTGGCATATGGCTATATTCCCATATGGCTACTTGAGAGGAGGCTCAAGCAAAAGGAATGTCTACACCATGGGGTCCAAGGCCAGCCTGAACAGCATTTAAGGCCCTGTCTCAAAAAGTAACCTAAAATTAGGATGGCTTATCTTCAATCAAGAGCATCATTGTTTTTAAAAAAGATCAACCAACTGATTTTTTTTTTTTTTTTTTTTTTTTTTAAGGCATAAAGCTTAAATAAAACCTAAAGTGGGGCTGGCAAGATGGCCCAGCATTTGCCACCAAGCCTGATGACATGGTTCAGTCGCAACAGCCCACACAAAGAGCCAATCCAGCCTGCAGTTTTTCTCTGCCCTCCACAAGCCCCACAAATAAACGTACAAATCCGAAGTACATTTTTCCAAGTCACCGTTTCCTGCAGCTTTAAGGACCACACGTACCGTGCATACGTGACACTGTCTCCAGTGACGTGGTGTCTTTGGCCCTGAAGTGACCTCCACCCCATCCCAGGTCACCATCTATATCCCTCAGTATGACAAGTGCTAGGCTGGGAGGTGGCTCACACCTGCAATTCCAGCACATGAGAGGCTGAGGCAACCACAGAGCTCCAGGTTTGGAAACAGATGGCTGTTCTCTTGCGACAAGAAGACAACTCTGGCCTTCTCTGTGAGGGAGCAGGAGCAGTGTGGATGGTGATGGCTGACTCCTTCCCCTTTAGGATTTGGTCCACTTACCGGACACAGGGCACCGATGAAGAGAGTGAAGAGTGAGTTGTGAGGAGTAATGAGCTAGCGTGCAGAGCTCTCTGTCTCTTTAAACCTCAGGCTAATAAAGAGGACAATCCAGAGAGATGAAACACAAAAAGTGGCCAGAAAGGAATCCTAACACAGGCGTTACTGATGTTCAAGCATCTGCATAAACTAATGTAAACTTGTATGAACTAATGCTCACGGCACTGTTTGCAGACTGAATGTAAAAACTGTTCGGATGAGGACCGTTTACCTGCAGAAGTTTAAGGAACTCGTCCTTCAGATGGTTCTCACCAAGGTCCTTGGCTGACTTCAACTGCTGCAAGTACTCACACAGAGCATCGATGGACTCCTGGGACTCGAAGAAGTTCGCGTTTTTGCTTTCTTGAAATACATCAAAGTCATGGATTGGTGGGCTAAGGAAAGAGAAAAACATAAATGAAGCATTTCTGTGAGTCCTTACCTTTCACAAAAAGAAACAACGGCAAGAAGCCCTTGCTTGGGTGACTGCAACTCCCTAATGGGAAGAAAGCATTGCCGTATCAGGAACTACCACAACTCAGTCACACAGACAAAGCTCTGGGCCAGGAATGGCTGGTGGCGCACTCCTTTAATCCTGGTGCGCCAGAGGCAAAGGCAGGTGGCTCATCTCTGTGAGGTCAGGGCTAGCCTGGTGAGCATTCTAGGCCAACCAAGGGTCCACAGTGAGACCCTATCTCGAAGAAAAGAACAAAGCAAAAGCTGAAATGCAAATAAATTATTTTACTAGAACTAGCTAGTAATTACTGTGACTGTGTCCATAATCATTTACCCACCGGAGACAAATAGGAGCGGGAAGGGAGACTATGAGGTAAGTACTTTAGTTCAGCATCCTCGAATGCCCTATGTGGGGGCCCTGACATAAGGGCTTGAGAACACAGCTCCTGAGTACCAGTGATCACCAAGGGAGCTGGAGCTGGAGGGGACTCGAGGAAATCTGTCACCATTCTTGCAAAATCTAGCAGAATGACAACAGGTCACTTATGCACAGATTTGAATTGTGTCAAATTTTACTTCCAGGTTACTTCTGACCTAAGGTGAGGTTTGTGTTACGGCTCTATCATCTTCATGAGAAGTTGCATGAGAAAATATCTAACAGGATGTAAGTGCTAATAGGACAGCCATTAGGGAAAAGATACCCTGATTAACTGATGTCTGCAATTAGTACATTCTTCATAGGCCATCCATGTAAGGATAAGGACACTGTAGGACCATGTAATGAGTTTTGTTTGATTGAGTCTGTTTTGAGACAGGTTCTCACTCTGTAGTCCAGGCTGGCTTTGATCTCATGGCAACCCCCCTGCCTCAACTTTCAGAGTTCTGGAATTAGAGGCATAAGCCATGGCACCAGGCAAGATTCTCTAGTATCTATTATTTTATGTGTATATGTATGCGTGCCTGAGTATACATATGGACACTGCACATGGACAGGAGCCCACAGAGCTCACAGGAGGCACTGGGGCCACAGGAACTGGAGGTACAGAGGGTCGTGGGCATGTGGGTAAAACTGGAAACTGAACGGAGATTCTCTGCAAGAGCAGCCACGTGCTCTTACCCTCAGCCACTTCTGCAGCCCAAGACTGTTTTGATTAAATGACATACCAGGTGTTGGCTGCCCCTTCTGAGCAGCAGTGTGGGGGGACCACACCTCTACTCCCAGGGCTCTGTCATGGCCAAAGCACTTTGCAGCTCCTCTTTGGGAACTTCCTTCAGAACCTGTGGCATATTATTAAACACCCTGTCAGTGACCATATTGCTCTCCTGAGAACAGGCAGAAGTCACTCAGAAATGCCAGCAGACTAAACCACAATCAAGCTGAGTAAAAATGTTTTGAGGAGTGACTCAAAATTAACAAACCTAATTTCCCTTTTTGAGGACTGGAAATAAATCCCAAAGAATTCAAACATTTTTAGCAATAACAGTATTGTTGAAATCAGTCAGTTGCTCAAGGTGATTTCAAAGGACAGAGGTCATTTGGATGAACAAGTTCAAATGTGGGGGTGGTAAACAAGAGCCCACAGACCCCGTGAGGCCTGTTCTGTGGGACCCGCAAGCCTAAAATGATTAACAGTTAAGCGGAAGAGACGCAGCGGGGCATGGGGGCCTATGCCTGCAGAGGCTGCGGCAGGAGGATTTTCCTGAATTGGGGCAACCGAGAATCCACAGGGAGGGAGAGAGGAGGACGGGAAGAACAGGGTGTGTGATGTACTCTGTCCCCTATGGTATTGGAAGCCTGGTGTCCATAACCTAAGTTGTACCGGAACACATGCTGACATGCGTGCTATCCTGCCACGACATCATGGTGGCAAAACTGTGTGGCTTTGACAGAGGCCATTTGGCCCACAAAGTTAAAATACAACCTAGTTCTCTCTAAAAATGTCTGACAACCCATGTTCATTAATTAATGGTTATTCACTGAAGCCATAGCTCATGTATGAACATGAATGTTTGCTTATGCTTAAGAGAGCAAATATCACATAGATGTGAACAGTTTCTCATTTTAGAACATTCACTACTTCAGAATCTAATGAAGCTGTCTATGGGCATATGCTCTGAGCCAATAATACACACTAAATTGTTCCCAACAAACTGGGCTCGGTGATGCAGGCCGGTAATCTCAGCACTGTGGGAATCTGAAGCAGGTGGATCTCTGTGAGTTTGAGGCCAGCCTGGTCTACCAGGACAGTCAAGCCTACACAGAGAAACCCTGTCTCAAAAACAACAACAAAAAGTTATTCCCAACAGGAACACACATACATGATCACCATGTTAGAATGTCAGAACTGGGTGGATGAAATGGGGCTCAGTGGCTAAGAGCACGGTTGCTCTTCCAGAGGACCCAGGTTCAGTTCTGAGCACCCACAGAGCAGCTCTAACCATCTGTAGCTCCAGGTCTAGAGGTCTCTTCTGGCCTCTGTGGTACTTGCCACCCCAGTGATGCACAGACACACATGAGGACAAAACATGCATACACACAAAATAAAATAAATCCTAAAGGAAAGAAAGAAACCCTATCCAGTGTTTGCAGCTTCATTCTTCATAAACCCACAGTGGAACGACCAAGCTGTGAGCACGCAGGGTGCCGGGCCGCACGCTCGCCATGCGCAGTTCACGGCCACAGTGTGGACGGCCGAGGATGCTATCCCCAACACAGCAGTGAATAGTGGAAGAGGCCTGCATGAGCCCTCCCAGACCGCCTCACAGTGTGGTGGTGCACACCCGTCGCCCCGGCACTCAGAGGCCGAGGCAGCGCTGTGGCCGTGAAGCCAGCCTGGGCTATGTGAGTTCAAGGACATCGAGACCACGTCTCAGGAGCAAATAAAATACCCATATAACCAATCAATCAATCAATAGCTTCAAAGCAGGCAAAACAAAACAAAAAACCTGACCCAGGTGGTTGTCCCCAAAAGGGAAACACAGTTCCAGCATATATCTGTTTAGTAAAAACAGTAAATTTTTTTTTAATATAAATAAGTCAGAAAAGAGAATCCTAGACTCAAAGTTATATTACTTCCTAAAACAATTTCATTTTATAGTTAGTATTGACTTGATCCATTCATTTCTTTCTTCCTTCTTTTCTTTCCTTCACCAGGGTCTCACAGCCAAGGCGAGCCTGGAACTCGCTCTAACCCAGGCTGTCCATAGACATGCACTCTCCTTGCCTTAGTTTCCCAAGAGCTACAATTACAGCATGAGCTCTGACCGATTTCTTTAAATCATCCTTTACATCAAGCCTGTATTTGGGGACTAAAAGAAGAGTTCCCGTCACCTCTTCTTTACACTGTACCCCAGAGGCAACATCAGCATTCTTAAGAAATCAGCAGAATAAATGGTCTGATTTTTTAGAGTATATGACACTTAGACTTTTTTCTAATCTAGTAAAGACAAAACACAGGGCGGGAGAAGTACAGACGCCGAGAGCACTTCCTGCTCTTCCAGAACCAGGTTTGTTCCCAGCACACAGGTCAAGTGACGTCTGAGCTCCTGTGATGCCAGTTCCATGGACGCTGACATCCGCCAGCCTCTGCTGGCGCCTGCGCACAAGCAGTGCACGTGTGCGCACACACACCAATAGTGCAAATATACACACATACTCATGCAAGCAGTACATACACACACTCAAGTAGTGCATGGACACACTCACAAGCAGTGGATACACACACACACACACACACGAAAGTAATGCGCATACACCAGTAGTGAACATATACACACGTGCAAGCAGTGCACACACACAAAAGCAGCACACACACACACACAAGTAGTGCACACAATCAAACATACACAGGCAAGTAGTGTCTACAAATACACAAGCAGTGCAGACGCACACCTGCAGGGAGTGCACACGTACACACAAGTAGTGTGAACTTGTACACACAAATAGCACATATAAACACACACAAACCTTTAGAACTGAACAAAAGCAGAAGAAAGACTGAGACAGCAGGCGACAGGAGTCCCTCTCGGATGGTTCCTTCACAGATGAATCCTGACACTGCTTGTGAGCTCGCTCACCTGGGAGACAAACCCTGAACATGCCTGTGGGAGGAGATCGGGCGGAGAGCATCCTAAACGTGGCAGGCACCACCCCAGGCTACACAGAAAGGAGAGCGAGCTGAAGCCAGCCCTCCCACTCTGCCCTGCTGTGGTGTGAGCGGCTGCCACACCCACTCCCCCACTCGGCCGCCACGCTCTGCTCTGGGGCCAAAGCCACCAGCCACCCTTGCTGAGTTGCTTCCAGCCGAGCGCTGAGCAGTGAGGACAGCAAGCAGGCACACTTGTGTTAGGAAGCAGTGGCTTTCCTGTTCCTTTGTTCATTTGCTTTTCTTGGTTTATCAAGACAGGTTTCTCTGTGCAGCCTTGGGTTCCCGGACTCACTTTGTAGACCAGGCTCGCCTCAAACTTACAGAGTTCACCTGCCTCTGCCCCTCAAGTGTTGTAGTTAAAGGTGTGTGCCATGACACCCAGCTCCATCTTAAATTCTTTATGTGATCATTTTAAATTAACATTTTTTATTCAGTAAGCACAATTCATTTTTACTGTAGAAGTCTTTTTGTAAGAATTTTTAAGGCTGGGTGAGAAAGCTTAAGAAGAGAACTGGTGTCTGTAAGCTGTCCTCGGACCTCCACGTGCATGCACACACACACACACACACACACACACACACACACACACACACACACTTAGTACAGTCATATCATTCAATCATTTGTGGAAATGTCCAACAGTACTGTTACTGTTTGCTGAACGATTCTTTTCTTTAATTACATTTATTTATTTATGAGGGGCTCACATGACATGGTATGCCTAGAAAAGTCGGAGCAAAGGACAACTGGGATTCAGGTCTCTCCTTCCGTTTTGGCAGCAAGCCCCTTACCTGCTACGCCATCTTGCCGGCGCCTGGTGAACTACTGAAAAATACCTGTCAACTGCATGAGCACTTGCTACCTGTGGCTGTACACTTGCCTCTGGATGAGGGCTTCATGGATCCTCCGGTACATGTAGCACTCCACAAACAGCCAGGGTGAGAAGAACCAGCGCGGCGCCTCGCCGCTGTCAGTCAGCAGACTGCGTTGATACTCCAGGTACTGATTCCAGATGTCAGCGTCGTCGCCTTTATCAACCAGGGGAATGATGGGCTTATCTGTCTGCATCTCGTTCCGCAACTTAGAAAGAAGAGAGATGGCTTTCTTTTCAGCTTCAACGCCTTCCTGTGAAAGAACAAAAAGAGCTTTGCTGTGTTTGTGGGTGCACACTCGCACGCATACTCCTTCAGGGGAGCATACCATTGTAGACCTAAAGGGAAGAAAGAGAAACAGTATTTTAAGCCCAAATCTTGCCTTTTGTATGATCGCACAGGCATTCCGCCCTTGGCATGCCCTAACAACCTTTCTTTCTTGTTTCCTAAGATCCGGCCTCTGCATTTTCAGGGGGCTGGCCAAAGCAGGCGAGAGGGTCCCATTACCAGGCCCTGTCCCTTTCCCACTTGCACACCCTTCCAGTGACATGAAAAGAAGCCTGGACTCCCCCTGGACTCCTCCTGGCGGCTCTCAGTCTAGCAGTCCCAGGCCAGTGACAGGTGCCCCGGCCTGTCACCAGAGAGGAGACGCACCATGCCATCACAGCACAGCGCCGAACTCACACCAGCAAGACGCATGCCTCGTGAAAACAGAGCCGAAGCAGGGAGGGCCGTGCTCCTGTAATCCCAGCACCCATGAGGCTGCCACACCAGATCAAAGCACCAACACCGGCACGGGCGGTGTGGAGGGAGGCCCGCATGGGTTACTCAGAGGAGATCATCAGGCTCGACAGAGGGTTTCCATAGAGTCCTGTCGGAGAAGGCCCTCTCGTGTTTCAATCCCATCACCTTGCCAGTCTAGCCTCGCTCTCCCCTTTTGCCCGGAACAGAACCCAGTACTTTATGCATGCCTGGCAGTACTCCCACACCCAGATGAACCCAAGAGTCCGTGTGTGTGTGTGTGTGTGTGTGTGTGTGTGTGTGTGTGTGTGTACACATGTATGTGTGTGTGTGTGTGTGTGTGTGCATGCGGTACTGAGACTGAACCCAGGCCGGCTATACTAAGCACATGGCCACCCAAAGCTGGAGGTACAGAGTTTTGCAGATGCCAGGCTTGTTATGTGGCTGCTGGGATCCAGACTCTGGTCTTCAATCTTCTGGAGCATGTGCTCACAGCAGTGAGCCATCTCTCCAGTGCGTCCTCCCACACTAAAGAGGAGCTTACCCTCTGAAATCTCTACTCTTAAGGTCTTTAATTGGAGTTATGATTTAAGGAGAAGTTATAATTGAGGTTTTGTTTGTCTGATCTCACTGTGTAGCGCTGGCTGACCTGGATTCACAATGTGGCCCAGACTACCCTTGAACTCACTGAGATCTACCTGCCTCTGCCTCTCAAGCATGGAGATTAAAGACATGCACCACCACACTTGGGCCCCAATTAAGATTTGTGTAGAGTTGTAAGTATAACAGCCAAGAATTAATGTTTGTGTCAATGCCTGTTTCTTACCTAGTTTCCCTCCGGTTCAAACACTGAGTCCTGTGTGTACCAGATGCTGTGTTCAGAGGCAGAGACCGGTAAATAAGGCTTGGTGCCACCCCTAAGAGACTAGACATCTATCCAATCAGGTAGGCTACGGGCATGGGCTTTTGAGAATCACATGGGGACATGGTTCCCTTGAGGACATGGTTTTGCTCACAGAGCCAAAGGAGAGAGGCTAAGAGCATGGGAGCCCTGAAGAGGTGACACTACTCAGGCAAGTGTTTTAAGAACGTCCTGGCAACACAGTGAAATGGGACAGGACTGCAGACAAAAGGCTGTGCTTTCTCATGCTTGGCCAGCGTGGCCACCTGCTCACGATGAGCACAAAGGCTGAAGCTACATGCTAAGATCTGACTGGCTACTGCACTGACAGTCACTCCAGTTACATGCACATTCATCAAAATGAAGCTGCACGTATGTGATAAAACACTGCAACATTCATCAGGCAAATGTCAGTGTCCAAGATGAGCTAGATGTCAACAATAAAGAACAACAGACAGTGGGGTGTGGTGCTGCAAGCCTCTGACCCTAGCCCGTAAACAGAGGCAAAAGGATCTGAGTTCAAGGCCAGCCTAAATTAAATAGCGGCAAGAGGGGAGAAAAAAAAGCAAAAGATGATTCTGTATTATAGCAAAGTCTGTTTAGAAAGAGTACAATATCAAGGCTGGGGAGGTGACGCAGGTGCTCAGAGCACTTACTGCTCTTGCTCAGGACGTGGTTTGCTTCCCTCATCCACAGCAACCATCTGTAACTCCAGTTCCTGGGGATCCGATGCCCTTTTCTAACCCCCACATCCACTGCATGTATGTGGCACACAGACATAGAGATCAAACACCCATACACATAATTTTTTTTCAAAAGAAAGAAATATAACTGTATACACTCAAAACACCCAACTGCAGCCTTGCTCCATTTTAGTCTGGCAGTGGTGGCGCACACCTTTAGTCCCAGTGCTCGGGAGGCAGAGGCAGGGAGATCGCTGTGAGGACAGCCAGGCTACACAGAGAAACCCTACCTTGAAAACACACACACAGAGACCCATTAACCACTGCTCTAAAGCTTTGCAGCCAACATGTTCAAGAACTGTATAGGACCTGGCATGCATCTCAGTTGGTAAAGTTCATGCCTACCATGCAGAAGGCCTAGGTGAAAACGAGAGAGAAGAAGGGGAGGAAAGGAAAAGAAGGGCAGGGCAGGGCCTTGTGTTCACTCCACAGCGTGTGTGCTGGCCCACACCTCTAACCCAAGCACTCAAGATCTTTATAGACTCTGAAACCTTCTTTCAAAAGAGAAGACCGGGAGGGAGGAAAAGAAGACAGACAGTACAGGTGTGATGTGCACAGCCCAAAGATGACTGGATTCACAGCTTTAAGGACTGCCATCGGCAATCACGCAATTACTTACATCCCTCCCCCACCCCGTTGATTAAACTGACAAGGTGATTTTTAAAGTCTTCTTCAGCCCCAACCAGCAAATCTTTCACGTATTTGATGACACTGCAAGTTCTGCACTTGTGGGGCTCAGATCCCAAATTAGTAATCCAAGTGCTGTGGTACAGGTAGGTCTGAAACCTAAAAAGCTCTTCAGAGAACCCAACATCATAATTTACAACAGAAAACAAGACAAGAGGACCGCTGAGGCTTTGTCAGGCTGAGCTGTTAGCAGACAGTACTTTCAAACCAGAGGCTGCCATCTACCTCAACACACAGAAAAGCCGGTAAGCATTCATGCCCGACATCAATCTTTACGTGAGAGCTGAAAGTAAATATTGTTACTCTATAACTATTGTTAGTCTCGTGAAGAACAAACACAAAATTAAAGCCGAGACATAATTCTTACCTCTCCATGTTTTTCAAAAAATTCACTTTTATGGCGATGCAATGTATCAATGGCCTTGGTTAAGATCTGTGGTGTTCTGTCCTTGATCGTAAGATATGCAAATGACCTAGGAAAGTCACACGTGAGGTTTCAATCAGTAGCTGCAACCACTAGACTACATGCCCAATTTCAGTTTCTGCAACACCTCATTTGGATTCAAATTCCTTTGCATGCAGCTGTTAAAAGCAAACCAGTTTTATTGGCTTTCTAAAGAGATATGGACTGGGAACGTAGCTCTGTTGGTAGAGCACTCAATTGCATGATGAAGCTGCAGCAGGGTAAAACAGAGTGGCAGAGGTTTTGTTTTTCATAAGAAAATAAAGATATCACCAGGTGGTAGTAGTACATACCATTAATCCCAGCACTCAAGAGGGAGAGGCAGGCTGATCTCTGTGAGCTCAAGATCAGCCTGGTCTACAGACTTGAGTTCCAGGACAGCCAGGGCTACACAGAGAAACCCTGTCTGTAATCCTGGCAGAAAGATAGAGGTAGGAGGGTCAGTAGCTTACGGCCATCCTTGGATATATAAGATCCTTCTGGAAGGGAGGATGAAAGGAAGGAAGGAAAGAAAAAAGGGAAGAAGGCAGGCAGGCAGAAAATAAGACAGAAAAATACAAGGAAATATGAAGATCTAATGTCGTGGCAGCTAAGCAGACTATAACACTAAGTTCTGCCCAGAACTCTAGTCAATCATTTTATTTTCTATTCTATTCATTTTTCCCCCTAAGTCAGAAACTACTTCAACAATGTGGTAAGATCAGAAAAAGACTGGTCAAACAGGCTCAGATCCCAGGTCTATCACGAAGAGATTTTATCCGCTTAGAAAGATGAAAAAGGAATCTCAAAGCAGTTTTGATTTGCATTTCCCTAATGCGTGTGAGGTTATGTACAGGTCCTGCTGGGGCCAGGGGCCATGGATGCCCTAGAGCTAGAGTTACAGGTGGTTGTGAGCCACCAGAGCTTGGCTATGGGAACAAACTGTAGGTCCTGTGCAAGAGCAGGCCTCTCCCCTGATGGCTGAGTCCTGTCTGGCTCCTGAGACATTTCCTTTTACACAAAATGGACAGTGCTAAGCTGATCAGTTTCTCTGCCCAAATCATCTCTGCTGAATTTATTACATTTCTACAAACCCAAATGCCTAATCCAACTTTTAAACTAGTGGGCTTCATTGAACATTTCTTCAGAAGGCTTCCTTGAACAGGAGCTATAAAACAAAACAAAAAACACTGCTAAACCACATTTGGGCTCTGTGAGACTCTGAGGCTTTGAACCTGCTTTCAACTCTAGATTTAGAACTGAGTGCTTACCAATCAGTAACACTGTCAAAGGAGAGAGGCCAGATCAACACCTGAATTTTCTAAGGCGGCAGAAACAGAAAGTAAGATGACTGGGAAGCGTTATTCTGTTGCTCAGCCACCCCAGTCCTGGTTTGATCTGTGGGTTAGGATGAGGCCAGGAGGCTCCTATAGGCCAGATTGCCAAATGCAGCTCAATTCTGGAGGCTTGGACATGGTACTTACGGCCAGGCAAGGCCACACCTAAGCATCCTGAAACAATTCCAAGGACTGGTGAGATGGCTCAGCAGGGCAAGGCACTCGCCACCAAGTATGTCCACCTGAGCTTGATTCCCCAGAGCCCACATAGGAGGAGAAAGAGCCCCTACACAAGTTGTCCTGACCCCCACCACTGGGTGATGTCACACCTGAATGCCACCCTCCCCACACATAAAACCAATAATTTTTAGAAAGAAAGCATTTAAAATAGGAATCTGGAGCCCGGCGTGGCAGCTCAACTCTATAATGCCGTCACTTGAGGAGGCAGGAGTTCAAGGTCGTCCATCCTCTACTATTTAATTCAAAAGCTGTGTCAAAAAAAAAAAAGAGATTGGCTATTTAACCAATGCAAATGAATACTGGATTGTTTTTGCTCTTACTTACAACTATAGCTTCAAAGCCAAGCACACTGTAATTCATCTTTACCCACAGGTTTGCTTTCCCGGGGACACTGGACCAGTTTAAGAGCATTGCAAATGGAAAATTCCAGCAGTCAACAATGTGTACGTTTTAAGTAACTTTAATTACGATATATAATAATTGCTGTTTTGCTCTTCGCTGGTTTGGTTAATCTATTGTGCCTAACATAAGCTTCATGAGAAGTATGTATGCTCGGGGACCTCTAAATATGAGAATTGCAGGCGTCCTCTAGTGAACTACTTCTAATGGTATTTATTTTGGGGGCCAGAGGGACGGCTCGTGAGTAAAGACTTAAGCTTAAATCTAGCCGCCTGAGTTCTCTTTGAACTCTGAGAAGTGAAAGAAGAAAACCAACCCCTCAGAGCTGTGGTCTGACCTCTCTATCGCGAATAATGGCATGTGCGCACGCACAAACAAAATGAAGACTTAAGAAAAATTTTTTGTAAGAGTATGAGTTTGGCCCATGCCAGAAATACAGACATCTCAGTAGGTATGAGTCCTAATTTTTAGCTCCCGCAGCGCTCTTCCTCCTCGCTTGTTAGAGACGAGCTTTAACTGTGTCCCAGGATGGGCTCGAACCCACTACTAGCGCAAGCGGGCCTTAACTGGCAGCAAGCCTCCTGCCCCAGCTTCTCCTGCGCAGGGACTTGGTTACAGCAATGACGAAGGTCTACAGGGAGCGGATCTAGGTCCGGACGCCGACTAACGTGCCCGCTCCTTCCTACCCAAGGCGGAACTCGAACTCACCGCCTCGGAGTCGGGCACCCCCGCCCGCCCACAGCTTCTCCAATCAATCTGGCTTTTCCTCAGAAGCGCTTAAGAGAACATGCGAGACGCACCCCACATCCTGAGCAGTGAGAAACCCGGGGGGCTCAGCCATCACGCCGGCGCCACGAGCCACGAGCCGCCGCCGCCGCTCGGAACTCAACGGTCGCGGCCGAGGCGCCCAGAAAGGGAGCTTTGGGGCTTTAAAAAAAAAAAAAAAAAAAAAAGCCGCTTTGAATTAAAAAACTTTATTTGGAGTCGCGGCCGGGGGCAGCGCGTCGGAAGCGAGAGCCTTCCGGCTGCGCGAGCGGAAGCCCGCGGAGGACCGGAGGCTCGGGGCGGCCCAGCGGAAGAGGGAAGCGCGGGCGGTCACGTGGTCGCCCGGTCACGTGCCCCGCCCTCCGGCCGGCGCTCGCAGTGCGTCTGCGCCGCAGCGGGGGCGGGGCCCGCGTGTGTTTCCGCAGCGGCTCCTGCAGCGGGAGGGCGCGCGCGTCTCCGCGGTCCTCCTCTCCGCGCACAGGTCAGTGCTCCGCGCGACCCCAGCCGGAGAGGCTGCCGAGGAGGTGTGGGCTTCGGCTAGGGCCGCGGGTGATACCCGGGGGGGGGGGGCCGAGGCACCCAGGACAGACTCTCCCGACCCCTCGCTGGAAGCAGGGCGTAGTGGTGGCTGCCGAGGTGCACGAAATCACCTTGAGCTTAGGAATTGGAAGACTTGCTCCCCAAGGTCTGCGCCTTTCGCCCGTCGAATCCATTTTGATCATGTCCAGCACCACCGCAGCCCTCCCCTCAAACGCCTAGGCCTGACTCCTCTCCCGTGTCCCCTCTCTTAGGATGACTCCTCAAGTGATGTCTATGAAACACTGAGTGTGGTTAGCGCTCTCCTTAGGCACATGTCTGTATTATTCTGGAAGAGAAGTCCCCAAGAACAGTACTTGCCTTGTGTTTTGTTTAAAAATTTTGATTGATGCCTATTTCCTAGGACACTACTATGACACAAGGAACAGATACAGAAACTTGTTTTGAGAAGAGACAAAAATCTTTATTACTTTATGACATCATTGTTGCTATGCAATATGCATTACATTGATTTGCCACATTTACTGATTGCAGCTCCCAGTATAAGGGACATTTGCCCATTTTCAGCCGGATTAGGAGCTAGCATAATGCGTGGCACATGATAAGGTCATAACCATTGCCTGAATTAGTAAACTAAAAATACAAAGTACATATGTGATATGAAGTCATTGAAGAAGACATGGAGCAAAGATCTGAAGGAGGCAAGGGGCTGGGAAGCCTTATAAGTCCTTGGGAGGAGAGCATGAGGATAGGTAAGTGCAAAGACGTAGAGATTCCTCAGGGGCCTTCGAGCAGAAATAAGCAAAGGAGGGAGCCAGGGAGCTATTAGGAATGCCATGGTGGTTTAGAAGGTTGGGAAAATAAAAGCTGTCAAGGCCGGGCATCTTAGTAAGGTCTCAGAACTTTGCTGTAGTCTGTCGTGAAGAATGCTGGAGGCTGGGAACAGAAGCAGGGGACTGGTGTGCCAGTGACCCTCCTTGTGACAAGCTGCCTGAGGCAGCTGCAGCTCAGCTTCCTGCAGCTGAGGGGAGAAAGGGTTTGCTGCTCCCTAGGGTCTGTCATGGCAGATTAGGCACGGTGGCAGGAATGGGTCTCGTTATGAGGCAAGCTGGCACCCCAACCTATAGCACAGTACTGTCCACACTTCAGGTGGGTCATCAAACCTCAGCTAACCTACTCAAGAAAGTCTGTCACAGGCATAGGAGTCAGTCTCCATGTGATTCCACATCTAGTTAGGTAAAGATCAGCCTTCTTAAGCAGGTAAAGGGCTGTTTATTGTAATGGTCGGTAGGAAAGACAGAAACTTGGGCCCGGTGGTAGAAGAGTTCAGGTGAGTATAGGTCAGCAAAGGACAGTGTGATTTACTGATTGACTGTGGTGACTGAAGAGAACAGTTACAGTGAATTCTAGGTTAAGGGTGAGCGTAAGCGAATATGAGCATGTGGCTGGCACTTGGACGGGGAATGTGTGGCTGCAGTGGTTTTGTGGAGAGTTCAGGCCCTCAGTTTTAAGCATGTTACATTTCTGGTGCTGAGAGTGATTTAAAGATAATATGTGTCTCTCATCAGTGATGAAGTGTGAAACCGTGGGGTTAGGTAAGGTCACCAAGAGATGGATCAGACAGAAAGGGCCCAGAGACTGCATACTGATAGATCAGATTCTTGAGTGGATGAGGAACCAGCAAAAAAGACAGGAGGAGGCTCTTATTCCCAGCACTTGGGAGACAGAGGCATGTGAATCTCTGAGTTTGAGGCAGCCTCATCTACAAATCGAGTTCTGGGACAGCCAGGGCTATAACAAAAATTAAGAAAGAAAGAGATGGGAGGAGGAAAATGGCCCGTGTGATAATTCTAAAAGCCAAATGAAAAGGTGCTTCAAGGCGAGGGGAAGTCTGTTACAGATGATCTAGTGACCTCTTCTGACCTCCATGGGCACCAGGCATGCATAGAATGAACAGATACATGCAGGCAAACTTAGGCCCATAAACTTATAAAAGTTTTAAGAGGGCGGATTGGTCAATGGTCATAGAAGCGATGGGTGCAGGCTGCTGATGGCTGAGGGTTCATCTTGTAGAACTTTTGGTTTCAATTTTGTTGGTGAAGGAGGAAACGAGGTCATTGTTAAGAATGAGAAACTAGGAGGAGGCTTGGCTGTTCCAGGAGAGGGGACTCAGGAGAATAGAGCAGGGATATGGCCCTGAACAATGTAGAAGACCCATGGGAAGACCGTGGCCTGGCTGGAGTGGGATAGGAGACGGCCAGCTGTCTGCAGTCACGGGGAGCTGCAAGAATGTAGGCACAAATTAAGTGAAGTGAATCGCGCTCAGTTAGGATTGAGGTTATGGCACATGGCTTTGGAAGAGGGAGGGATTCAGGGAGCGACGATAGTAGAAGACATGGACCATTAGCTGGGTGTGAAGGAAGGTGGGGAGGAAAGACTGGAAATTGTAGGTCCTGCTGAGGTGCAAGAATTGTTATCTTTGGGTAATAGAAGGAATAATCGGGAAAGATGGGAGTAACAAGGGCTGGAGAGCTGGCTCAGTGGTTAAGAGCACTGGCTGCTCTTCCAGAGGTCCTGAGTTCAATTCCCAGCGACCACATGGTGGCTCACAATCACCTATAATGGGATCTGATGCTCTGTTCTGTCATGCACATATACATGCAGCTAAAGCCCTCAAATTCATAAATAAATATATTTTTAAAAAGATGGGAGTAACAGGTGTAAAATCGGGAACATGTGCCAAACTTACAGGACACATCAAGGGGACCTTAAGCTTTCTAGATGCTGCACTGGAAAAAGTGGGTAGAATTAACTTCAGTAACATTTAACCCCTTCTTACACCGGGTGTACAGGTAACTAAGACAGTGGTAAGAACATAGCCCTTAAAATAGGGAAAGCTTGGGTGGCTTTGTGTGGCTTTGTTTTGCTGTGTTTTAGAGGTGTGTGAGGGGGAGGGGGAGTTCAGATACACACCCAGCATATGGAAGTCAGTCAGAGGGCAGTCACGGAACCAGTGCTCTGTTACCATGTGGCTTTGGGGGAGTGAACTTAGGCCACCAGGCTTAGCATGCACATTTACCCACTGAGCCTTCTCTGCAGCCCCGAGCCACAATCAGCATTTAGAATATGGAAGAAACTGAAACATCATGTTTGAGTCCTCCTTGGCTCTTCCTTCACATCACTGGCAGAGACATGTTTCTAAGCCATGCACCTGGTCATGTGAGTCTCTTATTTCAGGGACCTGGCTTCTGAAACTGTGGGACCTGAAGGATCATTTACTGTGTCTTTTTGTGTCTGGCCGCTTTTGAACATTATCTCCTGCAGCTCACTTCTCCCTCTGCTGAAGTTGCTGCCTGTTTGTTAGATAAATAAGACTGTGTACCTGGCCTGTGTGGTTGATGATCGCGCTGTCCTCTCAGCTGTCTCAAATGTTACCTCTGAGTGTACCGCACTTCCCACCCTTGTCAAGACTGCATAGCGTTTTATATGTTGTATCCTGTCCCTTTGGCTGATCTGTTAATTATGAAGTCTCTGATTGATGCTCGCATCTTTGGCACCTTTTTTTTTGTGTGTGTGTATGTGTATAGGCTTGGCTGTCCTGGACTAACTTTGTAGACCAGGCTGGCCTCAAACTCACAGAGATCCACCTGCCTCTGCCTCCCTGACTGCTGGGATTACAGGCATGTGCTACCATACCCAGCCTGGCACCGACTTTTTGAGAATTTTTATTACTACTTACTATAGGCTTGCTTTTAAAAGAATGTGCTATTTTATATTGTAAGTAGAGGGAGGAATCACACATAACAGCCCATTTCCTCAAGGCTAATATACCTGACCCTGCTCCTATGCCTAGCCCCAGACTGAAAGTACCTTCCCCCTTGAAAAATGGGAGTCATTTCAGTCTTTCTGGAAGCCATTCCTGTAGAATGGAGTGAGCTCCATCGTGTGCTCCCTCCCATGGTGTTGTGATGAGCAGGAGGCGATAGGATGACAGAGATACTTGGCTTTGGATGCACCTGTGTTCTCGGGTAGTTGATGTTTTCATTAAAAAGGTTGATAAAGGAATGTGTAAGTACAGATTGGTGTGTATGGATGTATATATATATATATTGTTTTTGTTGGTATTTCTTTAGTTGGTTGGGTTTTTTGATAGTTTTAAAATTTTTGTTTTATGTGAATTGGTATTTGTATGTCTCTGTGAGGGTGTTGGAGCCCCTGAAATTGGAGTTACAGACAGTTGTGAGCTGCCATGTGGGTGCTGGGAATTGAACCCCTCTGGAAGGGCAGCTAGTGCTCTTACCCACTGAGCCACCTTTCTAGCCCCAGTTCATTTTGTTTTAGAGAGGGTCTCCACATGTGTCTCTTACTGGCTTGGAACTCACTATGTAGAGTAGGCTAGTCTTGACCTCACCTGCCTCTGCCTCCTAAGTTCTGGGACTAAAAATGTGGACCATCACAGCTATAGATAGATAGATAGATAGATAGATAGATAGATAGATAGATAGATACATAGAGAGAGATAGATGATAGATATGTTTGATTTATATCAAATATTGATATGTTTGAGATATATATATTTTATATTCTTGTCTTTAAATATTTGATATTCTTGCAAAGTGATAAAGAGGTCCCATCACTTTTTTTTTCTTTTAGCGTCTTTGTTATTGAGAGTAGATTTATAATTTTATAATCTTCCAGGAAGAGGCCAACTAATGACTAAATGGAAAAAATGACAGTGTGTGTGTGTGTGTGTGTGTGTGTGTTTGCAGGACTGGAAAAACAAGGGCCTTATTTATTCTAAGTAAGTACTCTGCCACTAGTGTATAAATGTGCACATATGTGTGTATATTCATAGATAGATGGGAAGGATTAGGTTCTGATACTCTGTTTTATGAATTTTTTATGAGTACTTCCCTGTCATGAATGTTTGTGCGCCACATACATGTAAGAAGAGGGTATCAGATTCCCTGAAACTGGAGTTACAGGCTGTTGTAAGCACCGTATAGGTGCTGGAAATAAAATCTGGGTCCTCAGCAAGAACAAGTGCTGGACCTGGTGTGTGTGGCACAAAACTGTAGTGCTAGCACCCAGGAGGCAGAGGCAGGCAGATCTTTATGAGTTTGAGGCCAGCCTGGTCTGTATAGTGAGTTCCAGGCCAACCAGGGCTGCATAGTGTGAGACTGTGTCTCAGAAAACAAACAGAAAAGAATAAGCTAGTGCTCTTAGCTGCTGAGCCCTCTCTCCAGCCCATGTTGCCCAGATTTTTAACAGAAAATAAGCTTCTTGAGGAAGTATATGTGTATCTTAAACAACTTTTAAAAACCCACCCTGACTTTTAAATTCTTTTTCTTTCAGCCTGAGATGTGGCCATGCCAGCCAGACTTACCCAAACCCTGGTGGGTTTACACAGCACATCAGCAAAGGCTCGTCAGTGCAAGAGACTTACTCAACTTACGTTAAGACCACTTATGAGACTTGAAAGCACAGCATGCCGCCACATCCTGAAAATACAGCATCACGTAGATTCAGGCTTCCCTAGTGTAGCAGCTGATAGTCTGAGTAAGCCGAAGATCCCAGAAATGAGCCGCGTAACAGCACACACAAGCAGACTCTTTCCATTAAATGCTGTCCTTTCTTGGGATGGAAGAGCACACCTGCCGGTCTTGTATGCCTTTGGGACTAATAGGAACATGACCCACAAACCAAATCTCTTGTGTTCTAAGTGGTTTATAAAAACAGTAAGAAGGCATTACTCGTCTGTACCAACTGAAGGGCTTGTTCCTAAACAAGACCTTCCACAGATCAAGAGGCCCCTGAAAGCATCCCGGACCCGGCAGCCCTCCAGGACCAACCTTCCCGATCCGTCTGTGAATGAGGTAAAGCCTAGTCCTGTGGCCCTTAAGTACTTTGGCCCTTGCGTGCCCTGTGAACCAGTGAGTGTTGCACCATAGCCTTGCTGCTGACGTAGAGAACTGGGCAACCAGCTCAGAATTCTGTACAAACCTACAGAAAGCTTAGCTTGCCAAAGTCAGTTGCCCATATCAGGAGGGTGGCGCTGAGAGGTTCGCTCAGTTCAGGAGGGTTAGGTAGGCCAGGGAGAACTAGAAGAGGAGGTGCCATCCTCCAGTCAGGAATGCAACTGTTTCTTTGAGAAGTGAACTAGAAATGCATCTAAAAATTAAAAGGCTTTAACTGCCAGCCAGCAGGTGTTCCATGTTGGCCTGTGTGAATTGCACAGGGTGAAGAAATGGCACAATGAGGCAGGGAGGAAGCAGTGAGAGGTTTTGCTGTTTTACCCCTGGAAGTACAAGGCTTTTCTTGTTCTGAGTGTTAAAGGGTTTCTGGGATTTTTTTCAGAGGCAATTTGCATTTGACCTCTACGCTATAAACCGTTTAGGGTCAGAGTGAAGGCCTTTGTTAACTTTGTATCTTGAATGATCTCTTCAGCCAAAGCCTTGTTCTTAAATGTGTACAAACTGGAAAAGAGGCAAAGAGATCTTTAATGTTTATAGGGTTGTGCATGGTGGTGCACATACCATAGTAGACCCAGCTGAGAGGGCTGAAACAGCTGGATCATCTGAGCTTAGGAGCCGCAGGCCTGCCTGGACAGTTTGTCAAGATCCTGTCTGCAAAGAAAGGATTGTTTATGTGTAAGCCTTGGTTAGGCCTCTGAATTTACCAGAACAGTTAGGATGTCTGTTCAAACTTAAGAGGGTGGACCCGAGCATGTTTAGTTTCAATGGGGCCTGCTTTTCTGAGCTGCTGACAGCTCTGAACCAGTAAACTTTCCCAGGCATGGTCACACCCCATGGCTCAGAAGACAAGAAGATCAAATTTGAGGTCAGCCTGGACTGTATCGTGAGACCCAATTTCAAAAGAAAAAAAAAAAAGTACGAGCTGAGCATATGCCTTTAATCCCAACACACCGAGTTTAGACCCAGCCCAGTGTACATGACAGGTTCCCATAGCCAAGGCTAAATAGAAAGACCTTGTCTTTTCTAAAATAAGAAAAACAAGTGCCAAAGGCGCATGCCCAGTCAGTAGGCAGTGGAAGAGGGGTTAATGAATGGCTTGTACTTTGGATATGAAGTTGGCTTCACTCCTTGTGCTGCCCCTGCTCAGACTGAAACAGATGGAAGTGTTTGAGGAGTGTCCTTCTCGAGGAGCCTTGGGGTGGTCTGTGTCTTAACTCACCCTCCAGCCTTTCTTGCTACCTCCTGAGAGGAAGTATTGAAGGTTGCAAGCTTTGAGTCAGAGTTTGTGTCCCCAGCGTCCAGTGCCTATCCTGAATCCACCCAGAGCCCAAGAGTTACCTCAGTAGAATAAACAGCATTCTTGTCACATTAGGAACTCCAGGGAATATGCGGTGTGTGCCAGGAACAAGAAGGCTGAGACCCAACTGATGTTCCAGTGTCCTGTTTCACTAGCGAATTACACCTGCTTCAGCTCTACTGGGAGCTAAGGACGAAGGCCACATACAGGTTTCTTCTGTCCCAGTGTTAGTAAGGTCGATGCTGCAGTCCGTCCAGGGCACACTGATAATGCAGCAGGAATGCTGTTCTCAAACAGGACTCGCCCCATCCGCTGGGCCAAAGGTACAAAGCCTGTTGAAATACACTGGGTTTGTTTTAAAATAGAAAAGTGTAGATGGGAATTCAATAACTGTTTCAGCAGGCTTTGGTCATCTTTTTAGGAACAAGTTCCCTTCCCAAAACCTGAAATATTCCCCAACATATGTACTAGCACTTTAAATAAAGATAAGATGTTAAAAAAATAAGAAAAGACTTTATAAAAATGAAGCTGCTTACAAACAGGTGTTACCATTAACAGGCAAAACAAACAGAGCATCTCAGCCCACTTTGAGGCTCTCCCTCCCTTACCAAACAGGCTTCAGTGAAACAATACCCAGCAAGATGTCAGGAGGTAGTTTTCTACAACTTGTGACAACTTGCGACTTGTTGATTAAAAGGAGCAGCCCACAGCCGTACGTACAGGGGCACAGGCCAGTCACATTAAACTGAGCTGGCTGTATTCTGAGGGAAGCATGAGTATCCTCAGAAGCTCAGCTTCTCCAACAGAGGAGGAAAGAAAGCTCACAGCAAAGGCTTAGGCTAAGTAAAGGTGTTACGTTTGAAGATGTATTCTTCACCCAAGCTTAGAACACATTTTCTCATAAAAATAGTGATTGAATAACATATCACACCTTATCCTTTGAGAGTCCAATGTCTCATTTTATCAGAGAGGACAGGCCAAGCAACATAAACAGGCAGAAGAGGCAGGGGCTGCCGCTTCTGGGGCTTGGGGTCTGGTGAGATTGGGACGACCTCGCCCATAGACATCCACTCTGGTTGGAGATGTCCAGATCTTCACTCAGTCAGAGATGCTAGAAAGCTGTGTGGAATCCCTCCGTTTATTTTGACAGGTCACATTTTAGAAAGGCTACACTCAGAGCTGGGTGTGGGAGTGTACACCTTCAACTCCTTGCACTCAGGAAGCAGAGGCAGGAAGATCCTGGAGTTTGAGACCAGCCTGGTCTGCATAGCAAGTTGCAAGATGGCCAGGGCTACATAGAGAGATCTTGTCTTCAAAGAAAGAAAGGAAGGAAGAAAAAACAGAGAAGAGAAGAAAGAGATGACATGCTAAAGTTGAGTCAGTGCCAGGTTCCTTGTATTGTGCTGAGTTCCAGTCAGTTCTAGAGAGACTGAGCTGCTTTCCCCTGTGCAGGGTTACCATAGGCCTATCCTCTTCTGGTTTTTCTCCATTTTATGCCTCTGCTTTTCCCACTGCAGCCCAGACCACACCTGCTAGCTACAGTCACAGAGATCATTGAGACACACACCCTGCTCCCCTGATGCTGCCCAGAAAGCTTCAGGAAATATTCTGGTCTCCATGAGAGGGGCCTACTTGCTGCACCCTGAAAGGATTCCTTTCAGCCATTTAACCTCTGCTCCCGTCGTGGCAGACTCCTTGGAGCCCCTCATGTCTATATCATAAGCACATGCCTGCTGGCTGCCTTCTGCCATTCCTGCCCTTGGCTCTCTTGGATGCTAGCATACCGTGCTTATTTCATGTGTGACGGTGGGATCTAGTTTATCAGTTGTCTGTTTGGCCCCACAGCCTTCACTAATTGCAGCTTCTCTGACTTGGTTTCTCCTGGAGTTACAGCTGTGAGTACTCTTCCTCTGGAAGAGCCGCCAGTGCTCTCAACTGCTGAGCTACCTCCAGCCCTGGCTCAGGCGCTTCCGCTGGGTTACTCGCCACACTTCTGAGCGACTGTTTCCTTGGCTTGACATTCCATTTGGTATGGACGTTGATGTCTCCTTCCACTTACTCCTTTGCTGCTCATGAAGCAGGACAGATTGTGTGACTGAGCCAGGAAGCGGGAAGACTGGCTGAATCCATTCTTTTAGAAGTTGAGAGTAAGGCCAGAGCAGTGGGAAGAACAAAGCAATTCTTACAGTGCTCCACTGGGATTCACACTGGGGACATCAGAGCTTGGGGAACAGCCTGGCAGCTGACAGGCGAGCAGACAGGACGACAGACTGAGGCTCTAGTAAACACTGGACGGTTCTGAGAAGTTTGTCAGTAGCCCTATAAAGTAAGCACTTTACCCATGGAAACTTCATATCTGAAATCTTCACGTTTTGTTTCTGTGATGTCAGTTCTGAGGCTGACAGCTTTGAAAGCTTTGGCCATGCTTCTCCGCAACCATGGAGATCATTCAGACACATACCCTGCTGCGTGCACAGTGACTGATGCACAGTGCACACATGAGCAGACGAGTGACAGAAAGCCAGGCGACATTTGATCTTAGCAGTAATGTTCTACAGTAGTTCCTGATTGTTAGTGCTACTTTGCTGGGGAGCAAATCATCAAATATGTGCTATGCATAGATATCCTCACCCTATTTAACTTATCTGGAAAGCTGCTTGGGTGCTGGAGAAATTGGCTCAGCAATTAAGAGTGCTTCCTGCTCTAGCAAAGGACCCAGGTTCAGCCCCAGCACCAGGTGGTCCACAGCTGCCAATGACTGCAGCCCCAGGGGATTAGCCTACACCACCTGGGAACCTGAACAATCATGGTGCACAACAAAAACTCACGAAGGCACACACACGCACACATAAGTTAGTCATAAATCTAAAAGGGTGGTTTGAGCAAACTACGTTGATGTGAGAATTTCCAAGTAGGTTGCCGTGCCACTTGCTGTCTGAGGAAGCACTGAGCTTTGCTTATCGTATGTGATATACACAGCAAGAGTATGCACCGTTTGTACTCTGTTCAGACCCGTACTGTAAAGCAGGGCACATGCTCAGACACTACACACCAGGGAAAACACTGGATCCTGTGTGGATTGAGGGGTCCCTGCTCGTGAAAGGCTAGTGACAGTAAAGCATTAGCTGCTACTGCGATGTGAACGGAGCCACAGACTGTCAGTGCTGGAGAACTGCGATGCCCTTCAGCCAGGTCTCCATATGGTGCCCGTATTCGGTCTGTTTGGTCCTACCACCTGGGAGGTGTGGCTCCACTTTCAGGGCTGCCCAGTCCACCTTTTTGGCTAGCAGAGGTAGGTTCTTTTCTAACTGAGCTGAAATTTGCCTCCATGTAACTCTTTCCTCTCCATCTTCACTGAAGCCTTTCTGTGCACCTCTGAGGTCCTGAGCAAGCTTCCAGGTGCTGGCTTTGCAGAACAGCGTTCCCTAGAGGAGTGCAGCCGCCATTGCCCGTGCTTGAGCCCTTTGGTAACCTCAGTCCTGTGCTCATGACCAAAACAGGACCTGATGCAGTGCACAGCCTTCGCCACAGCAGATGAGTATCACCTGGGAAGTCTGTCTCAAGAGCTGGTCTCCTGTGGCTATGTGGAAGTGACAAGCCTGCCCAGAGGTACAGCTCCCTGAGCCTGGGGCCAAATACACTGTCTGAGAAAATGACTGTCCTGTGGTGCTGTTTCTAGTGTACATTTGCTCCCATGTCGCTTTCCATTGATTTGATTTATGAAAACAGTCTCAGCCTGGCAGAGTGGCAGATGCCTTTAATCCAGCACTCAGGAGGCAGAGACAAGCGGATCTCTGTGATTTCACGGCCAGCCTGGCCAGTAAGTGCCAGGACAGCCAGAGCTACCTGAGACCCTGTCTCTAAAAAAGGGAAGAAAGGAAAAGAAAATGGTCTCAGATGACATGATTAAATGACTCAATGACTCAAATGACTCAAATGACATGATTAAACGTATCTGTTGGATTAGGATGAACATGCTGGGGCTGGAGAGATGGCTCAGTGGGTTAAGAGCACTGGTTTTTCTTTCAAATCCTAGCACCAACATGGCAACTCAAAACTGTCTGTAACTCCAGTGCCGGGGGATCTGACACAACACACAGGCAGGCGGAACACCAGTGTCCATTAAATTAAATGCATACTTTTTGACCAGAAGAATACGCTGTTTGACTCTATAGGATCACTGTCATTTGAGAAGGTCCAGGGATGTGAGTGCTGCTTCCCGTTGCTGCGTTAAACACCTGCAGTAAATGTGGACAGAGGAGGGGCTGACGTTAGCCCGCGGGTGGGGCTGCACGCTCTGTTTCCCATTGTGTGGGGTCTGTGCCGAGCACATCCTGGAAAGAACATGTGGCAGGGCTAGCTGCCCGCCGAAGGGTGGGCACCGAACCATGGGCACCGAACCATGGTCCTTCCAAAGGTGCATGTCCCGTGACCTCTCTTCCTGCCAACATGGTGACCAGCCGTCTAACACATGGGCCACACCCTCGCTCTCTACTGCTGCTTTTCAAACATTCAAAGATGGTTTCACAGCCCTGTGGTGATGGTGGTGCATCCCTTTAATCTTAGAGCTGGGGAGGCGGAGACAGGCGGATCTCTGAGGCCTTGTCTATAGTGAAAGTTCTAGGACAGCCAAAGCTACACAGAACCCTGTCTGGGAAAACCAAATGTGGGGGCTTCTTCCTAGAATGTCAGCATTTGAGAAGCTGAAGAGGACCGTGGCTGGCAGGCCAGGCTGGGGTATGGCTACACGTGGGCTCAAACACAAAAATTAAAAAGAAATTGAACATAACTGCAAATTAGTAACAAGTATCTTCATAGTGTTTGTAATTTACGTTATAAAGATACTTTCTTTTGTCTAAACTTTACACAATTTTAAATTCATGGGGGTGGGGATGTAGATCATTTGTTAATGTTTACCTCACATGCACACAGCCCTAGGTATGATCTTCACATCACTAACACCAGGTGTGGTGGTGCACACCTGTAATCCTAAAAGCTGCAGGCAGAGGGACCAGAAGTTCAGGGTCATTAGTTACACAGAGAGTCAGGCTGACCAGAAGCGTGTGAGACCTTGTCTAAAAAGGACCAAGAATTTAAGGGGTGTTTAAAGAAATAATGTGCTAATTCTGTATAAAATTTATTTTAAATTAATTTTATAGAAATACATTTAATTCCTGACCTATAGTTGTAATATGTATTAACTGGACTACTGGTTCCTGAGTCAAAAATCAGTGTGAATGAGCAGTTGTAGATAACATTGCTAATATTATAGGTTGTAGAATGTTCTCTGGAAGCAGTTTCTTATCTTCTTTTCACTAAGACTTTTTTCTCATTTAAAAAGCATTTTATTACGTGTGTGGGTGTTTTGCTCTAATTTAAGTCTGTACATCATGTGCCCACCTATGCCCCCAGCATCCTGGAGAGTGTTGGGTCCCCTGAAACTAAGGCTACAGATAGTTGTGAACCACTGTGTAGTTACTCAGAATTGAACCTGTCATCTGGGAGAACAGCAGTGCTCTTAACCTCTGAGCCATCTCTCCAGCCCTCTAAGGTTTGTTTTTATACGTGTCTCTCTGTGTGTGTATGCATGTGTGTGTGCTGAAAGAGGGCATTTGACCACCTGGAGCTCGAGTTACAGGTAGTTGTGAGCCATTCAACATGGGTTCTGGGAACCGAACTCACGTCCTCTGTAAGAATGAACCACTGAGCAGTCTCTCCAGCTCCATTTTGGTATCTCAGAATCTTTCAAGTCTCCAGCGGGAAGCTGATGCTCGTGCTGTGGAGCACTCTGGGTTGCAGAGTGGTCCTGAGAACAGATAAAAACACGCCCACAACACAGCATTGTTTTAAATCACAGATGCAGCAAATATTTTGGTGATGGGTGTGGAAAAATCTGCAAAAGAAGGTGATCCCGGAACAATATTCTTGTTCAGGTAAGGGAAACATGGCTTTGGGAAGCTGGATTGCACCCGGGTGTTTGTAGGGTGGGGTGTGCCTCTCCTGGGAGCTCCTATGCCAGTGCGTTTAGGGGTTAAATCTATCATCTGATTCTAACTTCATCTTGGAGAATTTGACAGGGTTCTCAATCTCCTGGTAGGTCTTTTTTAAAAAGGTCTTTATTGTTTTATGCGTATGAGTTTTTTGCCGACATCTATGTCTGTGTACCATGTACATGCATGTCTGTCAGAGGTCAGAAGAGGACATTGGGACTGGAATTGCAAATGGTTTTCAGTAGATATGTGAATGTTGGGAATTGAATCTGGGTCCTTTGAAAGAGCAACAAGATTTTTGAACCACTGAGCCATCTCTCCAACCCCTGGTAGATGATCTTAGAAAATGGAAAACAACAACAACAAAACATATATATATATATATATATGTTTGTTTGTTTGTTTGTTTGTTTGTTTTATTGAGACAAGGTCTCTCTGTGTAACAGCTCTGGCTGTCTTGGAACTTGCTCTGTAGACTAGGCTGACCTCAAACTCAAAAAGATCCACCGGCCTCTGCCTCCCAATGGCTGGGATTAAAGGCAACACCACCACCACCCCGGCTTAAAATGAGAAATTTTAATGCAAGTAAATCATCTTTGCCTGTTATGTCTTTCACTGAATATGCAAATAGAGCAAAGCAGCCTTTTCCTGCCCTTACACGGCTCCACGCCTACTGTCCTTCCCTCACCTGTAGCAACCAAGACTTTAGCCTATCAGATACCTCAAAGAGTGACCCTGGCTCACAGCCTATATAAAGATTGGAGTGAGTGATGCATTTACAAGGCGGTAGCAGCCATGTAAGATACCTGCTGTCCCATTTTGCAGCCAAGAAAAGGGAGGGTCAGATAGAGTTGGGGAATAACCCATAGTCTGTAGACAAGTAAGGGGCACAGCAGGAAGATAGACAATCCAAAAAAAAATTTAAATGTAGGCCAGATACGTCACTCACTCCCAGTAGCCTGGAGGCTGAGGCAGGAGGATCACTGGTTTCAAGGTCAGCCTGGGCTGCGGAGTGAAGCAATAAAAAGGCTAAACTTGAAGTCACAGGTGGCTCAGGTCTACAGTTCCAGATATCAAGCAAGCCAGTCTTCAAAACCAAATGATTTTCTTCACATACATTCTCAGTGTGTTCTAGAGCAGTTGCTCTCAACCTATGGGTCACGACCCCTTTGGGAGCCAAACCGCCCTTTCACAGGGGTCACCTAAGACCATCAGAAATTAGAGATATTTACATTATGAGCCACAACAGTAGTAAAATTACAGTTATGAATTAGCAATGAAAATAACTATGATTGGAGGTCACCACAATGTGAGGGGCTGTATTAAGGAGTCAGCATTAAGAAGGTTGAGAACCACTGTGATCTCGGTGTGGCTCTGAAGAGTATTTCTTGGGGCTTAGGGAGACAGCTCAGCAGCTGAAAGCATTTGCTATTCTTGCAGGTTCCACTCTCCGCACGTAGATTGATGGCTCATAACCACCTGAACTCCAGTTCAGGAAAGGTCGCTTTCATCCGACCTTTGTGGGTACCAGGCACTCACATGGTACATGTACATACATGGAGGCAAAATAAAATAATCTAAAAAGAATATGTTCTCCCTTTGCCGAGCTTGACTGTCCTATTCTTGAATTAGGGAAGGAGTTGCTGTGTTCTGGAACGTAAGAGACAAAACTGTAAGTATAAGAGAGTACAGCACATAGAGCTGTGGTGTCCCAAGAATAAACTGTCACTACACTCAGCAGGTGGACGCCTGGGGACAGGGACACACTGGCCCACAGCTGCTCCATGCATCGCTCTGTATTATCGCTTCCCTTCAGCTTATGCACTGACTTACAGTTCTCCTTACATTTTCTACATGATACAAGTGAATTAAGAGTCTCTCATGAGTGCAACCAGTATACACACTCAGGAGGATTATGAGATAGAAGCCAGTACCTGAGTTACAAAACCTGCCTCCGAAAAGAAAAAAGAAACTCAGCATGGTGACTCATGCCTGTAATCACAGCACTTGAGAAGTGGAGGCCTGTCCCTGGGGTTACATGAAAGGAACCATGTCTCTTTGCTCACCTGAGATCCTGTTCCTCGGGTAGCCATGAATAATCTCAGAGCATATCCTCCTCTGTGTTTAGGTTCACTAAAAGGAAGGAGATTGACACACCTTGGGGGCAGGGGAGGGGGAAGGTAGGAAAACAAGTCAGTGCAAACAAGTGGCAAAGACAGAAGAGGCTGGTAACAGGCCTTGGTTTTATGAGCACTCATGAATATTTAGATTCTAAGACGAAAAGCAATTTTGGAGAGCAGTTGAAATGCTTCCCAGAAATCAAGCATGCCTGTCTGTCTCCCTTTCCTCTGCTTTCCCTCTCCTTACCCTTCTTCCCTTCTTTGCAGAGCTGGCAGGAGTCACGCTTCCAGCGTGCCAGGCCTCAAAGCCCTAGCCTTAGATCTTAGCAGTTCTTCAAGAAATACCTCACAGCATGGAGATAGGTGCAGCAGATGATGCCACGAGATGGTAGAGTAGAGATCATCCTCCAAGGATGTAAATAAACTGCACGTCTGCCTTTAAGAATGGCAGTGAAGGTGTCCATATGTATAGTATAATTCCATTCATATAAAAACAATGACGTACACATGTGCTCAAGGAAAACATGTAGATCCATGTGGGGTCTGCCCTTAGCCCCGCAGAAACAAATGTGGAGGGGGTGGCCACCAGGCTTAATCACGGCTACCTCAGGGTGAGGACCAGGGAGCACTTTCTGTACCTTTATGTTGTTGCATTATCTCTTTCAGATTTATCTTACGTGTGAGTGTTTTGCCTGTGTGTGTGTGTGTGTGCACCATGTGAACGCTGGGTGCCCAAGGGATTCAGAAGAGAGCACCAGATCCTGTGGAGCTGGACTACAGTCCATCATGTGCCACCATGTGGGTGCGGAGAGCTGAGCCCAGGGCTTCTATAACAAATGAGCTCACTACTGATCCATCTCTCTAGCACCTGTTACTTTAATTTTTACAAGTAATTTGCCTGTACAGTTTTTTAAGAGACTTGACAAATAACAAAGGATAATGTTATATTTGTTAATGTTAGTAGCGATTTTCCTTCACTTGCTGGATAATGTTGATTTTTATTTTTTTAATGCTCATTTATACTTTCCATATGTTAAATGAACACACCATTGGTTAGTTTACTGTCACAGTGAACTTGCCTTTCCCTTAAAAACGAAGACTCAGAAAACATGTCGCTAAAGTGGCGGAAGCCATCATGAGCAGAGGAGAACCCCTGCGGCTTGTGAGGGACTCAGTGTACTGCAAGCAGACGTCCTTCTCTCCTAGGTGAAGCATGTGATGCAAATCCTGGAGAGACACGAAACCCAGCCCTACGAAGTGGCTCTGGTGCACTGGGAAAACGAAGAGCTCAACTACACAAAAACAGAGTAAGCAGTTTCTGGGCACACACGTGAGGAGGGCTCAGAGTGAGCTGCCAAGCCTGGCAGAGCTCACTGAATACATGGAAACCCTTTAAGTTACTGGTACACATCGCGCAGCCACACCACAGAATGGGGTTTGTTTTCACCCTCTCCCATTACCAACAGATTAAAACAAGTAAAAGCATTATTCCAAAATTAAGAGCTTATTCTCTGTAAGCAACCTAAATTAATGACATAGCATGCCCTCATCAGGATGAGTTTATCAGATTGTTGCAGTAAGGATTTGCTTTTCTGCAAATCCATGTGTTTTTCAGTTGACTTTGAATATGACAGAAATGTAACGATGTAATCCAAGAAAGCACTTTGAGTACTGTGAGGGCCTGACCAGTGCTCTCAGGTGAGGAAGTGTGGGCAGGCAGCAGCCTAGCTGATTTCTCACTGTAATGTCAGGCCCTTCTCAGGCTCCTAGGAGTGCTGTGATACAGCCCTAAGCAGTCAGGTCTAGCTTGTCTTTCTGTGGAATTAATAAGCTACTCCATCTTTCAAAACAAACATGTTGTGTGTTTGTTTTTTCCTACTAATGAACATTTGACCAAAAAGTTATCTGTGAGGCTGAAGAGGTGGCTCAGTGGTTAAGAGCTCTTGCAAAGGACCAGGTTCAGTTCCCATCATCCACATGGTGGCTCAGCAGTTTACAGACTAGGTATAATAGTTAAAACTGTAACCGCAGCACTCAAGCGATGAGGCTGGAGGATTGCCATTTGCTTGAGCTAGGCTACAGTGTGACACTGCCAAGATATAGTCAAAACAGTTCAAAGTGCACTAGCTTTACCTGGTTATTTTTGTGGGTTAATTCTGGGGAATGCACTTGGATCAAAGGGTAAGAGGACATTTATAAAACAAACTAAAAATTGTCAAAGTGGCTTCTAGAAAGATGGCAAAATTTTTTCAGAATTGTGGCTGCCTTTAAGACTTGAAAATGGTTTTTCTTTTCACAGGGGACAATCTAAGCTGCACAGAGGGGAAATCAAACTAAATTCTGAGCTGGACTTAGATGACACCATTCTAGAAAAATTTGCTTTCTCCAATGCCCTTTGCCTCTCAGGTGAGTTAGTCTGCTGTGCGAATGACACATGGCCCAGCCTCGTTGAGCACTGGGTAATGATTTCTGACTGTCTTCTTGACACTCGATGTAGTGCACATGCTCCTTTCTCTCCTGAGAACAAGTATAGACTGTGCTATTGCTGGCTGCTCATTCCTAAGGTTTGTGTTGGGAGAGCTCCACTTCTCCAAGACGCCTCTCATGATCCTAGCGCTGCCTTTGTTCTTTCCTCTACATGGCTGCTCAGCTCGGTAGACCGACCCAGAGACAGCCAGCCCCATGTGACTGGGAGCATGTCACAGTACTGAGCTCATGGCCCCTGGGAACGTCACAGGCAAGCCCTAAGGGTGCTCCCTAAGGGCACTCCCTGAGGAATATACGAAAGCCACTAGGCCCAGCCCCAGCCGCACCTACAGCACTTTTCGTAAGAGCTAGGCGTGACTCTGGGTTCCTGAGTTGTGAGCAGAAATCTGGAATTCTAGATGTGCCTGTGTTCTGCCAACAGACGTAGAAGTCTGAAGTCCACTTCCCTCCTGTTCTTTACAGCTGTCTTTTAACTTATTCAGCTTTAACATATTAGTACTTTTGCTTTTTTGTTGTTTTGTATGTAAATTATTAGAAATTCCTTTGTTAAGGTGTGTGGAACACACCTTTAATCCAAGCGTACAGGAAGCAGAGGCAAGGGGATCTCTATGAATCCAAGACCAGTCTGGTCTACAGAATAAGTTCCAGGACAGCCAGGGCTACACAGAGAAACCCTCTCTCAATAAAACAAAAATAAGTAAATAAATAAAGTCATTAACTGAATAAATAAAATATCGTGTGACATTTCCTTCCCATGTCTGGCTCCTTCTTAGAAGGTAAAAGCATCGTTTCTATAGCCAAGTCAGTCTGGACCTCCTCAGTGCTTGGGTCACAGGCGTGCGCTCCGTGCCCAGCTGCACATTTGCTCCGTAGACGGTTACTGAAGTGGCAGCGGATGCACCATGCCACTCTGCATTCTGCGTAGTTGTGAACGTGATGGTAAAGGAGACTTCCTCTTCCTTTTTTCCCAGTGAAACTGGCTATTTGGGAAGCAACACTAGACAAATTTATTGAGTCTATCCAATCAATTCCAGAGGTAATTATATCAGTTCTATGCTTTTTAAAACATCAATAACTGGTTTCTTGGGGGAAAGACAAATTGCTCAACATAACAGTATGCACATTTCATATAAAGTAATAGTGACTAGAAAAGCTACAGAGATTACAGAAAGAACACTTTCAGTTAGACAGAAGGTTATGAAGTAAGGATAAAAACAGTGATTTTTGACCTCAAAACTTCAAATGACTTTGCTATGAGTGCAGTGTTTTCAATGAAGGAAAAACAGTGCTGGGTGGAGCCCCGTGATACATTCCTAATGGCCTAGGTTTTTAGTGTAACAGAATAACATGGTTAATGATTCTTGGGAAAGAGGTCCCACTTTTCAATGAAGAGACAAGGAAGTGGGGGAGGGGTGCTGCACAGAGGTGGTGTGTGATTACCAGCACTTGCTGCTCTTGCAGAGGACCTGGGTTTGGTTCCCGGAGCTCCAGTTCCAGGGACTCCACTTCTGGTGTTCACTGCTATTAGGCACCCATGTGGTGCACAGGCAAACATGGAGGCAAACACTCACTAAAAAGACTAACCAGACCATAGCCTGGAGGAACATTTTAGGAGGAAAGGGGTATTTTGTTCAGTTTGGAAGGTTCATTCTGTAGTGGGGCAGGTGATTGGTTTAGGTGGTGGAGAGGCAGCACCTGTGACCAGGAGTACCTGGTGGGACTTGCTGTGACTTGACAGCCAGGGAGCATCGAGAAGGGGGCGGGGACTAGGGTCCTAGCAGCCCCTTCAAGGCCATGTAACCAGTGGCCTAACATCTTCTCACTGGCTCCACCTCTAAAAGTTTTATCTTTCCAGTGCTACAGTTGAGGATAAAGCCTGGGACAGATGGCCTCTAGAGGCCATTCAGGACCCAGATGGTAGCGGAAGGAATGAAAAGCCTGAGTGTCAACTTCTGGACTCTTGAGATGAGTTAAGACATTTCAGTTGTCTAAATTATTCATATGAAATGAAGTGTCCCTTGAGAACTTGCCCTAACTCGAGTTGTTGGAAAGATGCACAGGGGGAGTAGTGCTCCCCTTGGGGCTGGAGGAGCCTGTTCGAGGAGTCCTCCCCACCCAGGATACCAAAAGCTGTGTATGGTCATCTTTGTCTAAAATGTCAGGATTTGGGGAGTCATTTTAGGATAACAGAGAGTATTATTATTGTTGTAGAAATGCAGTTCTTAATATTTTCTGACAATCGTTTATTGGATCCACAAATGCACACCCCCCAGACACCGGCCCGTTGTGTATGTGACTTTTGTTTTCCCCAAACAGGCGTTGAAAGCTGGGAAGAAAGTCAAACTGTCTCATAAAGAAGTTATGCAGAAAATGGGTGAGCTCTTTGCCCTCAGGTAAAATATTATCTTCTAAATGAAGGATTTCCTTTAAGACAAAACACTATTATAAGCAGGAAAAACTCCCATGAAGAACAGTCCTCCATGAAGTCCTCCATTAGGACTGTGTCACGAAATACAGTAAGTACAGAAGAGCAGAACTCATGTACATTAAACGTGTCACACAGCACAGACCCCCGGAAAACAGGGCAGTAGTTACAGGAAGTTCTGCCCTATTTCCCAAGCTTGACACTGTGCAATGGCACCGAGGAGAAGAACCTGTCTTTTACTATGATGTCCTCTTCGTGGACTGCTGCATCGTGGTTGCCGAGGTGTCACTGGGCAGTGTCATCCAGTTTCCTCCTGGATGAAGTGTCCGAAGCTCCCTACATGTTTCCCTGAGAACTGTCTTCCCACCTGCTTAGATGAGCAGCAGCCAAGTGGCCCATTGTTTCGTCATGTTTCCCACAAAGAGCACCCACCACAGAGACATATAGACCTTGTTTTCTCTGAGAAGTAGGAAGATTGTTGTCCCCATTCGCTAGCTAATACGAACAGAATCTGATCAGCAAATTATAATATCCAAACTCAGAAGTTAGGACTAAATAGATTTGAGCATACTCCGACTTTCCTTACCCTGTTGTTTTAACCTTTGCCAGGAAAGTGCTTATGTGTTACTACAAAGAGTGCAGCAGCCAGCAGCTGGCTCACTGGTTGACAGCAAGCCTGGCAATCTAAGTTTGATCCCAGGAACCCATGTAAAACTGGAAACACAGAGACAATCCACAGAGCTGTCCTGATCTCCACATGCTTTTCTTAACACACACACACACACTCTGATAATTCCTCTGAAAAGAAAGAATGGGACTAGAAAGCAATTGAGAGTCTTGCTGCTCTCCCAGAGGACCTGAGTCTGGTTACCAGCACCTACATCAGACAGTTCACAACCACCTGTTCCAACAGCTCTAGCTATGACACCTCCTGCCCTTCAAGGGCATATGCACACACATGCAGACACACATACACATAAGTTAAACATAACTATTTTTTAAAAAAGAAATGTAATGATCTGTGAAAAGAAACATAGCTAAGTATGTTAGGTAAAAAGTTACGTCTTGGGGCTGTGGTTGATAGATTGTCCGGTCTATCATGCCCAGGAGCCTGGCTTGGACCCCGGCACAGCATGAAAGTAGGAAACAGGAGGACCAGAGGTTTACAATGATTCTCAGGTTGGTCAGCCAGTTGGAGGCCAGGGTAGACACATGAGACCTTGTCTCTCTCTTTCCAAAACAGGGTTCTCTGCACAGTCCTGGCTGTCCTGAACTTGCTTTGTAGACAAGGCTGGTCTCAAACTCACAGAGATCCACTTGCCTCTGTTTCCCAAGTGCTGGGATTAAAGGCATATGCCACCATGGCCAGCTGAGACCGTTTCTTAAAAAAAAAAAATTAGGAGATGTGGTGGTGCATGCCTGTAATCCCATTGCTGTGGACGCGGAAGGAAGCAAAGGCCAGCCTGGTGTATGCTGCCTGAAAATATAAAAATATAAAAGCCAAACAAAAACTAGTTGCAAATTATGTATGTGCTATTATTCCATTTGCATAGCAATTTATTACTTTGTTTGCCGAGACAGGATTTTTGTGTAGCCTTGGCTATCCAGGACTCACTTTCTAGACCAGGCTGCCCAGAAATCTGCCTGCCCCTACCTCCCAGAATACTGGTATTACAGGCATGCACCACCACGCTCAGCTAGCAAAAATATTTTTATTTCTCTTAATATCTGCATACACACAAATCTGTTCATGGAGAAATGTACAGACAACCATACCACAGTGTTTGCAGGCCTGGCCTGTCCTTTGAGTAAATGAGTTTGTACTGTTTGGTAGGTTAAACAGGCTGACCGCTGTGTTTCTGTTTTTTCTCCAACATTTGTTTGTTTGTTTGTGACAGGGTTTCTCTGTGTAGCCTTGGCTATCCTGGAACTCACACTGTAGACCAGGCTAGCCTCAAACTCAGAGGCCACAGAGTACTGCTCACTGCCTTGCTTCCCCTGGCTGGTTCAGCCTGTTTTATTACAGGACCCAGACCACCAGCCCAGGGATGGCTGTGCCCACCAGGAGCTGGGTCCTTCCCCATTGATCACTAATTGAAAAAATTCCTACAGCTGGAGCTCACGGAGCCATTTCCTCAACAGAAGGTCCTTCTTCTCTGATGACTCTAACTTACGTTGACATACACAGTCAGCTGGTGTACTATGCAACAAGAATTTACGTTAAATTACTTTAAAGCTCAGACACACACAAGGCTGGGTGAAATGAAGAGAAAGCCGTGTGGCAGTACACCATAGTTTTCTTAATACACTGCAGACTGAGGCTGGAGGTCCCAATGCAAGGAAGCCTGAGCTGCTCAGAGAGAGCTCAAGGCCAGGCTAGCCTGCACAGCCTGCCGAGCTGAAAAGAGACCCTGTCTCTCTCTGCCTGTCTTGTGTTCGCATGACTGAGAGGTTAGAGAGGGATCTTAAAGGTGGTTAATGAGCCGCAGAAAGTGAGGTTTGCCTGTGTTACCGTTGGCACAGGTGTGTGTGTGCTTCTCAGATCTTTTTTGAATAGTGATACTTAAAACTATTCTTGTATTGCACCATGAAAATATGAATATTTTTGATTTTTATTCACTATAAATAAGAGGCTTAACTACCTTTTTTTAGGCACCGTATAAACTTGAGTTCAGACTTCTTGATCACCCCCGACTTTTACTGGGACAGAGCAAACCTGGAGGAGCTTTATGATAAGACCTGCCAGTTCCTGAGCATCACTCGGAGAGTTAAGGTATGTCTTTATAAAGACAAAAGGAAACACGGGGCTGTGTGATGCTCGCCTGTAATCCCAGCACTCGGGCGGCAGGAGCAGGCCGACCTCTGAGCTCCCTGGGGTGAGCGTCTGCAGTCTTTCCTGCAGTTCCTGTGACTGAAATTTTCTGCTAAGTATGTTTAACTATTTGACTTCCGGACATACCTCCTCCCCATGTCCTCTCTGCTGTCACTGCAGTCTTTCTCTGGGGAGACTAAGGCAGGAAGAAGGTTGCTTTTGAGCTCAAGGCCAGTCTGGACTACAGACACTGATCCAGCCCTGACCACCGGAAGGGAGATATGAAATGTGAGGAATTGTTACAAAAAGGGTTTCAGATACAAAGTATCACATTGTGGCACAGACCTCGTGATCCTCTTGCCTTCCTGGGATTACAAACACTGGGCCTCATGTCTCAACTTTCTGTGTCAGGTTCAGTTCTGAGATTTCTGTTGTTCTTAATGTTTCCTTTTTGGGGGTGGAAGTCTCACTGTGTTGCCAGGATGGCCTTGAACTTGGGAATCCTCCTGCCTCAGCCTCCCAAGTAACTAAGCAGTTTCTTGCTGTGTTCCATGTGATGTGTGGCATCTGCTTGTGATCGTGTGCACGTGTAGATGCATTCATGCATTGTAGAGGCTATATGTTTATTGACACGTGTGTAGGTACCTATGTAATGGGTATGTATGTGTAGAAGCCGAGACTTCCATCCCTTGGAGGGAGAATACAGGCAGTTGTTAGAGAGAGCACCCACGCACTCACCACCTGCCCTGCACACCGGGCCTGGACAGCGTAAGGTTGTGGAGACTGGATGGTGGCTACGCACTGAGCCAGCTTTCTCAAGTCTGCAGTTTCTTTTGTTGCCTAGAGTAGTGTGTTCTGCTGTTCCCTGGCCTACCCTCTTTTCGGGATTACTTCCAGTCATTTCAGTTATCTCATGTCCCATCAAGCAAATGACATAATTTTAAGAAACCTCCATAATTCATTGAATGCTGTTAATATCTCCTTTTCTGCAGTGTGGACACCTGTCCTTTGCATAATAATCTCAAAGGTGCCCACGGCTGTCACGAATGGTCAGGAAACAGCCATGCCCTCAGGCTGCATCTGCAGTGCTGCCTTCAGGACCAGCTGAAGCTTGGTTCCTGACTCCATTCACGCCTGGTCACTTAGCCACATGCTTCTGGCCGCATTTTCCCCTAGTGTGTCCCCCAGTGCTAAGGCAGCCCCTAAGAAAACTGCTTACACTACTGTGCAAGTTCCTGACGTCTGCTACTGTAGCAGGTGATTTGATTTCAGGAGAAATGCAGGATATTGATTTTGAAACTGCTTTGCCTGGGCCAGATGCTCGGATTAATCTAGCTCTGAACTAAGCTAGTTCAAAACTAGACTAAACTTAGTTTGCTCCCCAGGAAACTTTGCTATGTAGACCAACTGGCCTTGACCTCCAAGACCTGTCTGCCTTTGTTTCAGGCCCTGGGCTTTAGTGGCATCCAGCACCATTCCCTGTGGGAGAGCCCTTAAGATTCTTCATGTGGGTCTATGTGAGCTTATTGCAGTACATGTGCGCAGGCGCCCAGGGTCCGAGAGGCGTCAGAGCCCCGGGACGGCAGTAACGCTGGGAGAGCACATGTTCTCTGTTCTGCCGTCACAGTTTGGAGAAGAAAGCTGAAAGATGAACGTACTAGTGGCCAAGACTAAGCAGCAGTAGACAAGTGCAGAGCTGCCGTAGAGGTTTATAAAGCACGAGGTGGCCCTGTGTCAGCGGGGGTTCTGTGTCGGCTCTCACTGGTAAGCCGCTAAGTGCTCCGTGCGGAACGGAGTCTGACATGCTGAGCTGTTGCAGTCTGTGCCTTCAAGGCAGCTCCTATGGCTGAATGTACACTGACGGCAATGTTTCCGACTATAGAGTTCAGAGAAATGCTCAAGTACTGAGTAGGTCTGCAACTGACGTCACCTCCAGGTTTAAAATCAGATTCTATTTAGTTTGACAACCTTACACACCCTACTCCAGCCACCTTGCCCAAGGCATCATTAATCTAGAACCGTTGCCAGTTCAGCTGGCAGTGGTGCCACCTAGTGGTGAGTTTCAGGCTCTATTACGGTACGGTTTCAGTAGAAAGGTACAAGGTACCTTTGAACTCTCTTCAGCACACATGCTAAAACTGATGCCTAAGCAGTCTTTGTCATGCTTGGTAAATGTTTCAAGTTCCCCCAGTAATGTACTAGAAAACCCTGGTTCTAAAACCTCAGCCATTCCTGGATTAGTGTGCATTTTTTTGAAACTGCAATACAAAGGGGCTAGGGACTGTAACTGATCTGTTCAGCAAAGCCAAGGTCAGTCCCCAGCACTGCATATAAACAAGGTGGTGCTTCATGGAAACTCTGGGAGGACTCCTAAGATACATGAGACCCTGTCTCAAAATAAATGAATGAGTGCTGGAGAGATGGCTTCATGGTTAAAGTGCTTTCTGAATTACTGCCAGAGTTCAGAAGATCCCAACACCTGCCACATGGTGATGGTGCACACCTTTAATCCCAGCACTCAGGAGGCAGGTGGAGTTTCAGGCCAGCCTGGTCTACAGAGCAAGTTCCAGGACAACCAGCACTACACAGAGAACCTTGTCTCGAAAAAACAAACCCCAGCACTCACGTAGCTCACAAATGCTCAACACAAGCTCTGAAAAGTTTTGACACCTTCTGGCTCGCATAGGTACCTGCACACATTCAGAAACACATACAATAAAATGAAGTTGCATTACAAGCTATTTCTAGACGGAGCCACTAAGCACTGCTAGCAGCTAGTTGCCTTTAGGGACGAAGCAGGGAGAATTTGATGACCAGGTATGTCTAATGTGCATTCTCTTTAAACATGAAGGTCCCCTCCCCCCCTTTTGGGCAGGTCATGAATGAAAAACTTCAACACTGCATGGAACTAACAGACCTAATGCGGAATCACCTGAATGAGAAGCGGGCACTCCGTCTGGAGTGGATGATCGTCATCCTCATCACCATCGAGGTCAGAGCAGCTCTGTGCACTGTGCCAAACACTAGGTTACAAAGGCATTTCATTTGTGAGCCTGAATTTTTTTTTAAAGATATATTTTTTATTTGTTTATTTATACAGTATTCTGCCTGCACATATGCTTACAAACCAGAAGAGGGCACCAGATCTCTCATTATAGATGATCTTGAATCACCATGTGGTTGCTGGGAATTGAACTCAGGATCTTTAGGAAGAGCAGCCAATGCTCTTAACCTCTGAGCCATATCGCCAGCCCATGAGCCCAAATTTTAAAGACAGTATTTGCAACTTCTAATTGTAAATGTGTCAGTTTGTCATGCACAGCCTTAACCTCAGACCTGAAGCTTGTTGTAGAAAAGGCAATGCTTCCTCCAGGGTCGCTTTCCATTGGAAAAGTCCTCACCTTAGTTGCCATGGTTGTTAAGTTTGGTCAGCTTGACACATGTAGAACCAATCACCAGGGATGTGTGAGCCAAGTACAATCTTTTTTCCCTTAGGGAATGAAATTAAGTTGTTTCACCATGAAATTAGTAACTCTTTTTATTTTCCTAAGGTAATGTTCGAGTTGGGAAGAGTCTTTTTCTAATGTGACAATAAAAGCACCACTGAAAAGATACTTCAACCTTTGAAACCAAGAACTGTCCCTGGGGTGGGACACATCTGTAATCCCGGCACTCTGGACTGAAGCAGGAAGGTCATGAGTTCCAGACTAGCCTTGCCTACACAGGGAAGCCTGGTTGGCTGCAGTGGTGGCCACCAATCCCAGTACTTGGAAAGATTGCCCAAGTTTGAGGCCAACTATAACATGGCAGGACTGTCTCAAAATAAATCAAACAGAAATGTCATAATCTTTTCCTTTTTTTACTCTTAAATATATTGTTGTCTGAATAAAAGTTATGAGTATGTTTTTTTTTAGGTCAACATACTCAAAGTTCAAAAGGAAAATGGTTCATTTTAAAGAACATTGAACAACCTGAAAATACAGAGTATCTTAGCAAAAACAATTAAGCCAAGACTGTCCACCACTCCCAGCCTTGGGGATGGTGGCCCTGGCTCATGAGCCTCCAGCGCTTGTGTGGTACAAGAGATGTTTTGGCTGGAATACATTCTCTGTTCCTGTTCCAAGTGGCACACTCATTCACTAATCAACCCTTTGTCCTGCAAGGCCAAGAAAGCCAACCTCCCTACAACACACTTCATTATGTGCAGGACTGGGGCAGCACTCAGACCACAAACAAACATTATTTACCGTCATGGCCTTGTTTTCAGGATAGCTCTGCCCCTACTCCTTGACTCAGCAGCCTGCCACACTGTTTTCACACGTGGATGTCCTCTGCACCAGAATGGAATGTCCATCTCATCCCTTGGTTAACTGGGTGACCAGGGAACAGGTGTTCCCTGATGAACTGTGTTCGCTAATGCTGCTAAGGTAAGTATCAGGCCTGTCTTTCCAGCACACTGCACTGCAAAGACTAGTAGTTCCCCAAAAGTACCCCAGGGAACAGGTAGCATGGAGAGGTCAAGCTGTCACAGGCCTGCCGTGACTTTACAAACGGTGTCTCTCAGCACCCTAAGTTGGGTCTGCTGCTCTAAACAGCCTTTAAACCTGGAGAGCCACAGGAAGGACAATTAAATTACTAAGGATACCCTCTTTGAACCAAGGCCATTAAACCTATAGTGCCTGAAAGGTCCGACAAGCTTTAACGTTTATAAATCTTTCAAAAAAAAAAAACCCAAACATTTTCATAAACATTTATTGAAGTTCATAAACATTTCATAAGGTTCTATGGAGAGAATATAAAAATACAAAAGGAGTAGCAAAAGGAACACATTAATACAGAATTTGAATATTTTCCTGTACTTCCATGAATCATGGTGGGCACAGATTTATTAAGGTATTACACTGCATTATATATATAGCTTAAAGATGTCATATGAAAGCATACTGACAGATTAAACAAGTATCTTTTCAACTAGGTGTTTAAAATTTTTAATTATAATACAAGCAAAACAAAACTCTTTAGACATTAAAACTGTCACAGTGCAGCCAGGACTGTGACTCACTCGTAATCCCAGCACTTAGGGAGGCAGAGGCAGGTGGACCTCTGTGAGCTCAAGGCCAGCCTGGACTACAAAGTCTAGACAGCCAAGGACACACAGAAACCTAAAAGCCAAAACCAAAAGGGGGAAAAAAAACTGCTATAATGCAAAACATATGTCTAACATCTGCCACTTTAGCCCAGCAGGCACGGTGGCATACGCCTGTAATTCCAGCATTCAGGAGGAGCTCTGTGAGTTCAAGAGGAGTTCCAGGACAGCCAAGGCTAAACAGAGAAACCCTGTCTCAAAAAACAAACAAACACTACTTTAGGATCAGCATCTTTCAGGAACAAAACAGAAAACAAAGCCATCTCTGAAACTATCAAATTTGTATCACCCAGAGTTCAATACTTAACACAAATAGCCTTGGATATTTGCTTTAGTAGGTGTGTCCATCTACTTGGGCAAGTCAATAGACCTCTCTGGACCATCTTCTCACCTCTAAAGTGGGTTTCTTAGGACCTCAGTGTGCTTCCTGGCACATGTAAAACCCTGGGTTCACTACCTGGCAACGAGAAGAGCAACGTCTAAGGCAGTCATTTCAGCCAGAGAGCGCACCGGTTAAGTCTGGCGTATCTGAACATTAAAGGCAAAACTTCTGGGGCTTTGTAAGAAGAAAAGAACCTCTAAAAGCTGCTGTGAGGCTAGCTTACGGTTAAGAGCACTTGAGGGTGTTAATTCCAAGAGAGCCCCAGGCCATCGCTGGCCCCTGCAGGAATCAGGCAGGCAGTACATCCGTGCAGGTAAATCACTTACTAGACATAAAATCGTTTTTTAAACTTTCTGAGATTAAAGAGACCAAATTTTCAGGACACCCCCCCCCCCACCTCAGTACAGTGTTGTGTCTTGGGCTGTGGTCACTCATCTTTGCCATTTTCAATGATGGGCAGCACAGCCTCACGCGTGCCGAGGCCTGCCCACAGGACTGTGTGGTCAGTATTTTCACCCACGCTGGGGTCAGCGCTAGCAGCCCCTCTGAGTCTTCTTAAGGATGCACACTGAGGTTACCAGGAGTTTCTGTAAACAACTCTCCCAAAGTACTTCACAGAGTGAACTAGGAGAAACAGGATGTACAGGAAGAATTTGTTCTGAAATTATTTTTTTTTAATTTATTTATTATCTATACAGCATTCAGCTTGTACACAGATCTCACTATAGGTGGTTATGAGCCATCATGTGGTTGCTGGGAATTGAACTCGGGACCTTTGGAAGAACAGCGAGTGTTCTTAACCTCTGAGCCATCTCTCCAGCCTCCGAAATTATTTTTAAGACATCTATGGTCACCACTCTTAAATGTCTGCACCTCAGAGTGGCTTAAGGAAACGGTTTATAAACATTGACATTTTCATTCCCTGTCTGAACTTCACACTTGGCAACCACACAGCACTGTGTTATCTCATATTCAGTTCAGCACTATTACAAGTTTTTGGGTTTTTTTGTTTTTAAGACAAGGTTTCTCTGTAGCCTGGGGCTACCCTGGAAACTCAACCTATAGACCAGACTGGCCTCTGCCTTCCCAGTGTGGGGACTAAAGGCATATGCCACCACTGCCCGAGTACCAAGTCTTACTATTCTCAACTCTAAGATCCCATGGGAAAGCTGAGGTGGTGTCCTGTTCTGCAAAGCTTATTGGCAATGAAGACATGAGGAAGCCACTAAGTAATCTGCTTTAGGGACAGGTACTAAGAGTTGATTTAACAAGTTTAAACATCACCATTTGCATTTTAAAACAACTTGGAACAGGAAAGATTTTAAACTTTTAACTTTGCTTCCATACAAGAGACTGGAATCTACTTAAAACAATGATCACCTTTAAATATTGCTAATGAGATTTAGACAGAGGGTAAATCTCTGTCTGGTGAGTTTTGGCTGGTGAGTTTATCAGCTGAAGGCTCATTGTAGAGGGCAGCAAACTAAGAAAAACTAGCCATGTGCTTCCATTCAAATCTAAAGCACTCCTGACCCAGGACTGATCCCGAACTGAACCCATGTGGGCTGGGTTCTGGTGCCAGGTTACTCCAGGCACCACATGGCAATTGACTAAATTTTGCAACCCTCTTCACACAGTGACCCCCCATCCTGGGTTTTCCTGGGAGTGGTTTCCCAGGAGCAGCCACTTTCTGACCTAAAACACGTGTAAGTCCTGAAAGAACTGGCCCACCCATTTTCAGACCTCCTCTGAGCCACCTTCAACTCGCAACTCTGCAATGCTACAGAGCCATGACTACTGTACCCCCTCTACCAGTCAATGGCCGTCACAGAGCATCATCAATCACAGGGTGGAGATGCTTCTCAGTCTACCACAGGGCTCTCGCTACCGCTGCCCTTACTCTAGTGCCAAACACTACAGCACACACTGCTGTGCCGGTCACTCCGGACGCTCAGACCACAGCACGCCCGCGTCCTCCGGGAGACTCCAAGTCCAACACACTCCTCTTGTGGGGCAGGAGACAGCAGCGCAGACTGCTTGCCTAGCACACGCAAAGCCCTCTGCTTCCACTCTCAGCGTCACATCAAACAGCCCTGAGGGCAATGTCTGCAACCACACTTGCGACAGGGGCAGAGGCTCAAGTCATTCCTGCCTACATACCTGAGCTTAGAAGACCAGCCCAAGCTACAGGAGATGGTCTCAGAAAACAAGACAAACAGCTAGGTTGAAAACATGTAGCAGTTTTCCTTGTAAATTCCATCATTTTAAATTCCTGGTTGTGCACATGGCCCACACCTATAATGCCAGCCTTCAGGGCGGCAGAGGAAAGTGGATCTCTGTTCGTCTGAGGCCACCCTGTCCTACAGAGCTAACTCCAGGACAGCCTGTGGCATTACACAAAGATACCATGTCTCAAAAAAACAAAATAAAGTAATAGAAAAATCTTGGATCATAATCAGGCTTAGTGGTACACACCTTTAATCCCTGCAGAGGCAGGTGGATCTCTGTGAGTTTGAGGTCAGCCTGGTCTACTAGTAAGCTCCAGGACAGCCAACACAATACAGTGAGACACTGTCTCAAAAATAAGTATGTAAACAAAAAGTAAATAGAACAAAAGCCTCAAATGGAACTTGAATAACTACATTGGTACTCTGGCAGGGCATGGTGGCCCACGCCTGTAATCCCAGCCCTTCGGAAGTGGAAGTAGGAGAGTTCAAGACTATCCAGGTTCGGAGTAAATTCTGGGCCAGCCTGGGCTACCAGACCTGCCACAAACGGGTGTGGCTGGAAGGGCATGCAGGGGACTGTAGAGATGGCTCAGCATATTAGAACACTGGCTGCTCTTATCCCAGGTAAGGACTTCAGGTCAGTTCCCAGCACCCGTAAGTCAACTCCCAACCATCTGTAACTACAGTTCCAGGGCACACCAAAAGCTGACCAGCAGGCACCAGGCACACTTGACATATATGTAGGCAAAACCCTCAGATACATCCATCTTAAATACATATAGGGCTGAGCCAGCCAGGCACAGTGGCTCACCCCTGCAATCCCAGTACTTGGGAAGGAGGTGGCAGGCAGATCTCTATGAGTTTGACGCTAGCCAGGTCTACAAAGTCCTAGCCAGGACAGCCAAGGCTACAAAGAGGAAAACCCTGCCTCAAAAAACAAAAAGCCCTGCAGTTATAAGCACTTTCTTATTTTTAAGTTTTGTGCCTGCAGACCAGAAGAGGGCACCAGATCTCACTACAGATGGTTGTGAGCCACCATGTGGTCGCTGGGACTCAAAACCAGCAGTTTGGAGAAACAGTCAGTGCTCTTAATCCCCGAGCCATCTCTCCAGCCCCCAACCAATAGTCTTTCTGA